ATGTGTACTTATGGATTAGAAGGTTTATTAAAAATCCTAGTTTACTTCAGCAGTATTCTGATAGGTTAAAGGTAATATCTAGTAATATTCCTGTTAAGGGTCAGTGGGAGGTTGATAAGTTTTGTGATAGCCGAGCATCTATTGGAATTGTGTATAGGAAGTTTAGAAATGAGCATAGAAATGTTAGAAATGTTAGGTATGCTAAAAATACATCTGGAATGATAGTTGGGATTAGTTATGATGAGCTTACAGGTATGTCTTCCCTTGCTAGTCTAAATGATTATATGAGGTATTACGCAGGCAAAAGCGTGGATCTTGTTGATATCTCACTTTTACAGGAAAGCTTGCAATGTTATGTATACTGTGTCCTTGGAGCTCAAGCTAATACTCGGTGGGCTATAGTAAACCGTGGAACCTCCTCTTTACTGTCTCAAAAAGGATTCCGTAAACTTGTAGAAGATGTTGTAGTTCAAACTGATATTTCAGTTGGAATCGCTAATATGAGAACAGCAATTAGAGATACTAACGCAATAGTAAATACAGCAATAAATCCTGACATTATTTTATTTCCATCAAATTTGGTAATATTAAAGGATCCTATTCCCGGTTATAATAATATTCTACTTAAACCTAACTCTAGTGTTAAGTTTGGTGTAAATACTAAAGTAAATTATGTAGGTGTTAAGAAAGTTGATCCTCCAAAGAAGCAACATCAGGATACAACACCAGTTAATCACCTTGATACTCTTAGTGGATACGTAAAACAACAGATTAAACCTAGAGCAAACAACTCCTTTCGTAGAACTATGGTTAACAGTATTAATTCTTCAGAAGTCAGCGCTATTGCTGGGGCTGGAATTGGTGCAATTGTTGTATTTATTCTAATGAGAATAATGTTGTAGACATTATGTATGTTATAAAAATGGCTCTCTATAAGGGATATATAAAGGGTATAAATAATGTTGATCCATCAACTGGTAGTGTGTTTGATAAGGACGGATTCACTATGAAGGGCGATATTGAGATGGACGGTAATGAGGTAAAAGGTCTAGGCGCGCCTACAGATGCGCCTACAGATCATCAACCTAGGTGCGCCTACAGATCATCAACCCACTTTTTTGCAACCGCAGACGTATGTCTGCGGTTGCAAAAAAGTGGGTTGATGATGAGATAATAAAACAGGCTGCTATTACAATTCAACCAGCAGGGTTTACAATGACTAGGGATATTGACATGGGAGGTAATAAGATAACTAATCTTGATAATCCTACTAATCCAGGTGACGCTGCCAGTAAGAGCTGGGTTGAAGGCAGCCGTAGGCATGTACATGCAAGTCTACCTGGACTTATCCTTACAAATGATCTCAATATGTCAACCAATGAAATAAAGGCTTTAGGTGATCCTACAACTGGAAAGTCTGCTGTTAGTAAGGACTGGGTAGTTGGAATGCTAAGTAGACCTGTCACTGGACTTGATATTGCTGGGGATATTGATATGAAGGATCATGAGATTAAGAATCTTAAGGATCCCTCTGAGGACCAGTCTGCTGTCACAAAAAAGTGGGCTGCTGACAATAACTTTGTTAAAAAAGGTGGAACTATGCAAGGACATGTTTCCATGGGAGGCTGGAGACTATTTGATATTATTGATCCTAAACTAGATAGTGAGGCTGTACCGAAAAAGTGGGTTGAAGATAAAATATCTACTCTTCCTAGTTCCTCAGGTTTTACAATGACAGGTGATCTTCAAATGGGTGGACATGAAATTAAAAATGTTGGTAATCCCCCTACTGACCAATCTGTTGTTACAAAAAGGTGGTTTGACTCAAACAGGGGAACATTTTTAAGGCTAGGTGACTCTTTCCTATTACAGAGTGTAACTGGTCCTACTAGCTTCTCTAAGGCCCCTAAAAGTTTCTCAGATGGGTTAGATTCAGCAAGTCTTGTAAGATTTAGCCAGCTAGCTACCTATTTTAAACTAAGCGGTCTAAGTGAAATGACTGGTAATCTTAAGATGGGCGGAAATGAAATTGAAAATATTGGTAATCCTAGTGTTGATACATCTGCTGTTTCCTTGGGGTGGGTTAAAAATAATGTTGTCACGCGTGCGGGTGGTTCTAGAAACAATATGACCGGTACCCTGTGGATGAAAGGTAACAGAATACGTGAACTCGGAAATCCTGAGTATCTCACAGACGCTGTAAATAGAGGGTGGGTTGAAAATAAGATCTCTGGAGGTAGACGTAAACGTGAGACCTATAGTGGTCTTACACTATCTGATGACCTTGACATGGGAAATTATGAGATAATAAAATTAGGTGCTCCTACAACCGATAATTCTGCTGTGTCTAAAAAATGGGTCACGGATCACGTCAGTGGAAGCTCAATTAGCAGCAGTGGCTTCAGTATGACAGGTAATATTGATATGGGTGGTTATAGTATTACGGGTCTCAGTAATGGCTCAGCTGGAGACTTTGCTGCAGTTTCCTATAGTTCTATGAGCTCCTGGTGCTCGCAGTTCTTAAAGCGCGGTGGTGGAGTTTTATCAGGCAATCTTGATGTTAACGATTATGAGTTAACTAGGGTAGGCAATCCTACGACTGATGGTTCAGCTGTCAGTAAAAGGTGGGCAACTGATGAGTTCATGAGTAGTAGAGGTGGACTGGTAAAGGGAGATTTGGATATGGGAGATTCAAGTGGTATTCTTGATCTAAAGGATCCTGTAAATGATAAGGACGCAGTTAACAAGCAGTGGGTAGAAAGAAATTTCCTGAAACTTCCTCAGGACTTGTACAAGCAGTGGCTGATAAGAGATACGTAAGAATAAACCATCACATTCACGCAGAGTGGATCTGGGGTTATCGTGGTGTATCAGTTGCAGCAACAAGGTACTATGCTTACTGTCAAGATCAGATTCCACCTTCATGGAGAACAGATACTATTAATAATATGACAGACCTCAACCTTGAGTCAATTACTATTAAATCAGATTACCCAAGAATTTCAACTGTTCTAAATATACCCCTAGCTCTAATCCTGTGGGCTACTGTATGGGAAAAGCAATCTAATGGAAAATATACACAGGTTAAGAAGGAAATCGCTCTGAGAACAATAGACTTAAGAAGACTGTCACACACTTGGTTTAATGGAACTTACACAACTACTGGTGGAAGTACAGCTTGCTATGTCTTCAAGGGTAATAGCATGTTCTATTTAGGAAATCAGGTTGAGCTGGTAGATAATACGCTAGCCTGGTGTATTATAGTTAAACCTGAACAGTCAATGCCTACTGGATCGAGTATGGACTTGTCTTTTTGTTGGTCACTCCGATATTCAGGGTCAGGTGCTTAACATATGTTGTACTATAAAGTACCATGTCAAAATGGAGGTCATGTTTTTCCTGCTTGGGTAAAATTTGTGGCTGCCGTAAGGGATCTAAGGGAAAGGGCGTCGGTGATATAAATTTCTCTGTATCAAACAATATTAACGTTGGAGTAAGCACACAAGATAAAAAAGATACTTCAAACACCGTATTTGAACCAAAAAGTTACGCCCCCTTAAGTATCCTCAGGAGTGAAATAAAAGATGTTGAATAGGCTTTGGAATAGAGGAATTGAATGAAATTGGTGGAGTTGAAATTTGAAGATTTGAGAGAAGTGAATCGTTTTAATTTTGTTAGAAAATCTAGCGCTTAAAAAACCAATATGGTCTAGAAAATAAATTTATAATTAAAAATTCAGATTGAGCCAGACGGATTTCCGTTCACGGAAAAATGGTCGCAAAAGCTAGTGGTCTAGACACGCTAGTTCCTATACTACTTGTCATTACGCCAGTGTAATACATGGTAATTCAGCAACTGAAAACGCAAATGTCCGATGGAAATTCCACTAGTCCATTGGATCCAATGGACAAACAAAATTCCAACGGACATTTCCAAGTCCATTGGATCCATTGGATCCAATGGACAATTCGTTTGGCTATCTCAATGGCCTTGTATATCTACATGACGTCCATGTGCTTGTCATTACGCCAATGTAATACATGGTAATTCACCAACTGAAAAAGCAAATGTCCAATGGAAATTCCACTTGTCCATTGGTTCCAATGGACAAACAAAACTCCAATGGACATTTCCTGGTCCATTGGATCCATTGGAGACTTTCGTTTGGCTATCTCACTTGCCTTGTATCTACATGATGTCCATGTGCTTGTCATTACGTCACTCAAACAAATGGCAATTGACCAACTGAAAAAGCAAATGTCTGATGGAAATTCCACTTGTCCATTGGATCCAATGGACAAACAAAACTCCAATGAACATTTCCTGGTCCATTGGATCCATTGGATCCAATGTACACTTTCGTTTGGCTATCTCACTGGCCTTGTATCTACATGATGTCCATGTGCTTGTCATTACGTCACTCAAATAGTGGTAATTCACCAACTGAAAAAGCAAATGTCCGATGGAAATTCCACTTGTTCATTGGATCCAATGGACAAATAAAATTCTAATGGACATTTCCAGGTCCATTGGATCCATTGGGTCCAATGGACACTTTCGTTTGGCTATCTCACTGGCCTTGTATCTACATGATGTCCATGTGCTTGTCATTACTATAATGTATCTCTTTAGTACAAGTTGTACAGTATAAAAATGTACTTTTATTGCCTTCAATATCAAAACCCTATTTCCTTACACGTGGTCTCTTTCTGATACCTAAATATATATTACATCACGTGACATGACGTGAGTACATTACATCCCTCCTTTTCTTTAAAATAACTCATTAATGTTAATTGCTGTTTATTGAATATTACCTTATAAAGTCTACGTGTCCGCTTTACCAGTAATTATTTAACTAGTTTTAACATGTCTAACTTCTATAAAAGTCCGGTGGTCTTCGATTTTGTCTAAAACAATACCTTCGTTGTAGATCTGGTAGATCTTGTTGTTGCTCTTCAACTATTGTTGGTTGCTGGTTTTCTACTATGCCGTCGTCAAAATCGTCTTCTTCATCATTCTGATCTTCCTCACTTGCGTTCTTGTAATTTGTGAGACATTTGAAACACGATACATTCCGGGTTACGGTGCGCTCTGTATTACGAGCTGTTACCATGTTGCCTTTGATTTCAATCACTTTAAATGATTTTGGATTGAAAGGCATTGATAACTTATTGTCCTTCGGCACTTGCATTAGCACGTAATCACTAACTTTCAACTTACTTTCTTTCGCGTTGTTTCTTTTATCAGCATGGACTTTCATTTTCTCCTTTTCCTCCTTATCTCGAACAACGTGGTGTTCGACAGGGCCATCATTGTGTTGTAGGGATGAGAAACTAGGAAGCTTATTTCTAATTGAGCGATTGAGCAAAAGTTCAGCTGGACTAATGTGTGTCTTAGAATGAGGTGTGGATCTGTAGTTGAGAAGAAAAAGATCTAATTCACTTTGCCATCTTTTTCCTTCCGAATGAGCAGTACGGATTGCTTTTGTTACTGTTTTCATGAATCGATCTGCCTCACCGTTGGCTTGAGGCCAATAAGGTGTGATTCGGCGGTGATGGACTCCATGTGCAGCTAGATATTCGGTGAACTCAACCACATTGAACGGGGGTCCGTTATCGGTTATCAATTCTTCGGGATATCCATGTCGGGCAAAGATTCTTTGGAGTTTGGAGATCACAACCGTGGTTATCGTGCTTTGCATCACTTCAACTTCTGGATATCTGGAATAGGCGTCAATCACGACCAACAATTTCTCGCCATTTGGGAATGGACCACAGAAATCTGCATTAAGTGTGTGCCAAGGATGTGGAGGTAACTTTTTCATATTCAGGGGTGGTTGACATTTTGGTGACTGGTGTACTGCTGCTTGGCAGGGTATACATTCTTTAACCATTTGCTCCACTTGCTTGTCAATACCAGGCCACCATACTTTACTGCGTACAAGCATTTTAGTTTTAACTATCCCTTGATGTCCTTCATGAGCGATAGAAAGGACACGACTACGGAGACTCTTTGGGATAACGATCTGTGAATTTCGTAGTATAACT